AGGATCTCTCAAACTATTTGTTCAGGCTGGCATCAAACTGCAATTCTCCTGATCTCTGCCTCCTGAGTAGCTAGAATTCCAGACGTGAGCCACTGGCACATGGCTGCTGTTTGGTTCTTTAGTTCAATAAAAGCCTGTACTGGATTTTTTAGAACTTGCTTCAGACACCCTAGGTGGATGATTGGTGGACCACAGGTAAAATGCATGTGAAGCACATACGTATTTTTTTTCTGGTACAGGGGATCAACCCCACACAGGTATTTTTTTTTATCAAATAGTTGTACTGTGTGGAAGAAATCACAAAGTCAGTATCGAAAAGCTTTTTTAAAAAAATGCTACAAAATTTCTTGTTTGTTTAAATACTCATAACTGGGAAGATGATCAGATTTAAAATTCTGTGGTTTTTATCATGTCATTGAAAATATCTCAATAATCTTTGTTGATTGTAGTGGTGGAAGATGGTTACTGATCTTTTGGCAGGAGGTGGCACTGAAAACCCCCCACCCCCCAAAAAAAAAACCATCTAGTTTACTTAGATATGATGGCCCTAGGTAAAGATGTGCCCAGCTTTTCTGTTTTTTCTCAGCACTGGGGCTTGAACTCAGGGTCTGCCACTTGAGCCATGCTCCTAACCTTCTAGTTTTTTATTTGTTTTTGTTTTAGCTCTTAGTTTTAGTTACCTAATTTTCAATATGCCTTTACCTAGTGGTACCTAACTCTATACAACTGTAGCCTGCTTGAAAATATTTCCCTTTTATTTCACTTTTAAAATTATAATATGGTAACATTGACCTTTTTAGAGGGTATCCAATTATATGAATTTTAGTATAGTTATAGATTCATTTAACCAGCACCACTCTCAGAACCTAGAACAGTTTCTTCACCCCTCCCCCACCTTTCATATTATTCCTTTATAGTTATATGCTCTCCACTCCTTTACACCTTGACAGTCATTCATCTGTTTTCCACTGTTATAGTTTTACTTTCTCCAGAATGTCATCAGCTAAAAACAGAATATAGCCTTTTAATATTGTGGGTTTAAAATTTTGGGGAGTGCTGGTGCCAGGGATGAAACCAGTTGAGCACACTACCACTGGGCTCTGCCCCCAACACCTAATGTCGCTTTTTGAAACTGGCTTCTTTCACTCAACAAAATTCCTTTGCGATTCATTAAAGAAGTTGGGTTTATTGGTAATTTGTTTCCTTTTTTTTTTTGCTAAGTTGTTAGTTGAAATTTTATAGCATTTGGATGTTATTTATAATCTAATAGATAAGATGTCTCTAAACTCTCATTATTTTTTAAACTGAATGTTTCTCATCTCAGATAAAGGAAATATTTAGAACTGATTTTCTGAATTGGAATGTGTGATATTTTTGGTGGTACTGAGGTTTGAACTTAGAGCCTCATGCTTTTTTTTTTTTTTTTTTGTGGGATTAGGGTTTGAACTCAGGACTTTGCTCTTGCAAATCAGATACTCTACCACTTGAACCATACCTCCATCCATTTTTGCTCTGGTTTTTTTGGAGATGGGGTCTTGAGCACCATTTGCCTGGGCTAGCCTCAAACTATGATCCTCCCGATCATAGCCTCCCAAGTAGCTAGGTTATAGGTATGAGCTACTGGCACCCAGCTCAGGGCCTCATGTTTGCTAGGCTGGTGCTCTACCCTTTGAGCTATGCCTTCAGCCCTTTTTTGGTTTAGTTTTTGGATAGTGTTTCACATTTTTCTCCAGTACCAGTGTTGGACTGGGATCTCATAGCTGTGATCACAGATGAATCCTATCATGCCTAGCTTGTGGGTTGAGATGGGGGTATTCCTAAGGTCTTGCCCATGTTGGTTTCAAGCCCCAATCCTCCTTATCTTCATCCCCCCCACCGCCAGTAGCTAGGATTTCAGGCATGAGCCACTGCACCTAGTGGAATGTGTTCAGCTTTGCAGTATTTTCAGTTTTGTTATAAAAATGCACACCCAGAGATTGTCATTAAGTCATTTTTTGGTTCTACGTGCATTCAGCACTTGCTCTGAGCAACCTTCTTTGCCTTCACCATCTTGACCAGTTTCTTATATCACTGTCACTTCATGCATTCCTTCATTGTTCTGTCAGGCCTTCTGCTATTTTACTTTTTTCATTTGTCAGGTATCTTTACTGGGTATGTTTTCAAAGCTTGTTCCAAAAGCTTGTCTGTTCTCTTGTCCAAGGGGTGAAATGTGTGGATGGACCTCAGATCATTCTAAAGGTGTTTCATTGTCTGCTAGAGACACCTTTCCATGTACTTTTCAAAATATATCAAGAAGTTTTGTCTGTGTCATCTCTTCCATGAGAGTCACTTGCCTGGAAGCTCTTTGCCAATAACACCTTTGGTGTGACTCCAGAAGAAGGATGCCAGTTCACATAATTAGCCCTAACTTCCCACCTTGAATGCACTCCAGAAGAGAACCATGGACTTAGCTAGCCACACAGACTATCTTCAGACCACATCTCTCTGTCCTTTCCACCTCTGCCTAGTAGTTTTTTGCGTTCTTCTTCTTCTTTATTTTTTGGTGCTCTACCACTGGAGCTACACCTCCAGTCCATTTTGCTCCAGTTATTTTGTTTTGTTTTTTTGGTGGTACTGGGATTTGAACTCAGGGCCTCACATTTGCTAGACAGGTGCTCTTAGCACTTGAGTCACTCTGCCAGCCCAAGCTCTGGTTATTTTGGAAATGGGGTCTCTTGAACTATTTGCCTGAGCTGGCCTTGAACTGCAGTCCTTCCAATCTCAGCCTCCCAAGTAGCTAGGATTATAGTCATGAGCTAGTTACATCAAGCATTTAATATACTTTAATCAAATTCACACACTCTCCTTTTCCATTTTAATAGCTTTATTCCTTGATATTTTTTCCTTCTCTTCTAGTAATACTTGTCACACTGCCTCTTCCACTTGCCCTTAGCTAACTGAGCAACTTCTAATTCACCTTGTTTTTATTTCTCTTTGACTTCTTGCATCTCCCTTTTTGCTGCTGGATTATTGGTTTTCAATGTGAAGTTTTTTTTCAGTTCAGTCAGGAGCTGCCTATAGTTAAGCAAGGCAATTAAAGTATTTGCCTCACTTTGAAAATTCTTGTTATTTATTGGGCTAACAGAGTCTAGAAAGGCAGAATTTTTGGTAGAAGAAAGGATTTTTCAGGTTTGAGAGAGATATGTGAACTCTGACCTTTCTTAATGTCAGTGCCAATGACTGCTTTTCTTCTGAGCATCTCCCCAGCGCGATTCTCTAGACCACCAAGAAGCAGAGCTATCTCATGCCTGGCAGTGCCTTAGTGCACTGCTCCTGCTCTACCCTCTGGTCCCAACATTTGCTCCTTCTCACTTATCCAAGTCTACTGCATGAACTCTCTGCATCCTAAATTTAGTTTGATTCTTCCTGTTAAGAGCTGGCTCCTGTCTTAGTTGACAGAGGGTTACTGGTTTTATTATCTCCCAGATGAAAATCTAGAGGAACCCTCCTGATGAATGTGTTTTGGGAAGAGAATAATGGCAGTTCCTTTCCATGTAACAACTTGAGAAGTCTACATTGTGCCACAAACTTAAGTAATGGGGGGACAACAGAAAGAATGTAGTAGGCTTCAAAATTAAAGAACCGTGAGCAGTCCCTCGCCTATTTGTGGATATGTTAGGTTTTGAAGAAAGAAGATGAAACTTAGTTCTGTTTTCGCTGACTGAGACTCAGTATTCGTAACTCAAGATCACCCATGTGTGGTGGTGAATGCCTGTAATCTCAGCGCTCGGCAGAAGAATTGGAAATTGGAGGCCAGCATGGGCTACATAGAGAGCCTTGCTCCAAAAACCAAAACCAAACCAAAACAAAACTACTCAAGATCATTTTTGAGGACTTGTACTTTGATTTTTGTAAAATAAAAATACTTGGATTGTTTTCTAACTTTCACACTTAACAGTATGTTTTTCATTTTGCTTTTTTGTCTTTTCTTTTTTGGTGCTGGTGATGACACCCAGGGCCTCAAGCATGCTAGCCGAGCTTTCTACCACTGGGCTTTGTCCCAACCCAATTGTATGTTTTTATGATTTTTTTTTTTTGAACAGTGTCATTCTGTGTAGCCCAGGCTGGCCTTGAACTCTGGATCCTCCTGCCTCAGCTACCCAAGAGCTGGAATTACAGGCATGCACCATCATACTCTGCCTTGGGTTCTTATTTTCCTGATTTTCTTTTTCTTTTTTTGGTGCTGGAGCTTGAATTCAGGGCCTCAAGCATTCTAAGCACACACTCTTACTACTGAACTACATCTCCAGCCCCTTTAATCCTGATTTGTTTTTGTGTGTGTGATACTGAGGTTTGAACTCAGGGCCTTCATCTTGATCCATTCCACTAGTCCTTTTTTGTGGGTTTTCTTGAGATAGGGTGGCTTTGAACCATGATCCTCCTGATCTCTGACTCTTGAGTAGCTGGGATTATAGGCATGAGCCACCTGCACCTGGCTCTAATCCTGATTTTTAACAGAAGCTTTAGCAGAAAAGCCTGCCATGGGGGTATTTTCATCAGCAACAAACTGGCTTTATAGTACATGTTTTCTATTAAAAATATAGTGTGTATATATATATATGTATATATATATATAAATATATATAATATTTACTTCTTTATTGGTGGTACTAGGATTTGTACTCAGGGCTCTGAACTTGCTAGGCAGGTGCTCTACTGCTGGATCCATGCCTTTTTGCTCTGGTTATTTTGTAGATGGGGTTTTCACTTTTGCTTGGGCTGGCCTGGACCGTGATCCTCCTGTTTTAGGCTTCCCACAATGACTGGGATGCTAGCACCAGCTATTAATTGAGATGGGGTCTAGTGAACAGTTCGCCCTGATGGCCTTGAACTGCAATCCTGTGCTGGCTTAAAATAATCTTGATGTAGACTATGTTTAGATGCTGTTAGACTTATTTGCTTCTACAGTCAACTTTGGTGAAAGCAGTAAATATCCACTTCTCTATTGTATGTTTCTTTAGATTTTAACATTTGAGACCAAGAACCCAACAGAGTTAGCAGAACGTTTGCGCTCTATCTGTGGCAATCAGAGCAACGCCTATGCCCGCCTGCTGGAATACCGCCTGAATGCCTTGCGTGGACTGTGGAACGCCCAGCGCCAGTTGGCCTTGGAAGAGCAGCATGAACGGGAAAGTTCGGGTGATGAAGAGACTTTGGCCCTGCTCAAGCGTCAGGGCTTGCTCCAGCAACCTGAGCAAGCGCCCTTCACATCACGGATGGGGCTCCTGCTGGTCTTCCCCCTCATCCAGTCCCAGAGTAGAACAGACCCCTCTCTCTGTAACATAACTGCTGAGGTGCTATTGAACTGTCTGCGTGACTGCCAGCCTTTGAGCCTGACCAAGGAACCTGCTGACTGTCTCAATGGAATTGAAACGTTGCTGTGCTCTTGGCTTGAGGAGACTTCTGACACAGGCCGACACATACCACATAAGCAAAAAGAAAATGCTGCTGCTGCCCTGGTGGCATTGGCCTGTGCCAGGTAAGGAACACTGAATGTGCTACTTGGTGGCCTTGTGACTTCTGCACTTGGGTTGGGTGAGTGAAGAAACGGCCCTATGTGTTTCATGGAAGTTCTTAACGAGCAGAAGTTCTTTGTTTTCAGTATGGAATCACACAGCCTTGACAGTGCTTAGGATGCTTTCACCAAAACTTGGCACCAGGTGCCTGAGCTGGAGCCCAAGTTCAAGGTTTCTTTTTCTGCTATACCATGATTAAAAGATTAGAACAGAACATCAGCCCAGGTCACATCTACTCACCCTTTACATGGTTCCTGTTCCACATCAGGTAGTTAGTTGAGGATGTTATGTCTGTATTTGTCCTAGGAGGAGAGTCAAAACATTGTAGAATTTTTGATTTTTTCATGCCTGTCTATAAGGAGTGTATCAGCAAGTCAGTGGGTTATTGTCACCTGGCCTCCATTGCAAAACTAAGTCACAAATTGTGTTTTTCAACCTTCATCAGTTTAAGTGAAAGGTCTCTCAGTATGTATCAGGATATAATAGTATACTTTCCTTTTGTGCAAACTGATGTCATTAATGTACTGTCAATAGGAAATGTACTTGGAGTTGATTTTATTATTTTTTTTCTGGGGTTTGAACCCAAGACCTCACACTTGCTTAGCAGGCACTCTACCACTTGAGCCACTCTGCCAGCCCTTTTTTGGTTGGGTATTTTTTAAGATAGGCTCTCTCAAATTATTTGCCAGGGCTGTCTTTGAGCCTCCATCCTTCTGATGTTAGCCTCCTGAGTAGCTGGGATTATAGGTGTGAGCCACAGACATCCAGCTGAGTTTTTGTTTTAGTTTGTTTTAGACAGGGCCTTACTATGTAGCAATCCTTGTCACAGCCTCCCATGTGTTTGCAGTTGCTGTTCAGAGCAATTTATACAGTCTTCTGCCAGCATCCTGTGTGGCGACAACATCTATCTGGGAGAGCAATGTCCACTTCCCCTGCTTTCCACTAAGTTAATTGTTTAGTGACCAGTTAGGACCATTGTCTGACAGAAGTGCCACAAATCTGTCCCTGTTCCTCAGAATTTCTTTTTGCGGGGGTGAGGTTGGATCTTTTGTTAGCCCAGCATATTTGGAAAAATTCTTCTTGGAGGATGAGGATCATGCCATTCTTAGCTATAATACTTTTCCCCCGTTTTTCTTGTTGTGGTTTCAAGGTTGACTTTTAGTTAACTGAATCTCAAGTTATTTTTAAGGCAAAATAGCAGCGCTATTTATTGTCAGTTTTTTGCCTGGAGCAAACTGGCATAGCTTAGTTTTAGGTTCCTGAACACTTGCTGATTGTGGAAATCCTGGACACAATGGGAGGTACTGAAATACGTTTCTCCATAAAGGATTGGATTGATTTATTTTCTACATACGAAAAAGCACATTTGAGCCCTAAATAGATTTGTTATCGATGGAAAAATGGCATTGAGAAATTTGCTTCTAGAAGATGGTACTATCTTTAGAGATTCTGGGATTTGGAGGTAATCAAGTCTTTAGTTTTGAACAGTTTGTTATTAAACACTGGATTATAAAACCTACTTTTCAAATAATATACTCAAATTCAATCTATACCACAGTCACAGAGGCTTATTAAAATTGCTTTGTGTATTTGAGATTCCCAGGTTCCATTCAATACAAATATGAAATGAATTCTTTTATATTCTTCTTCATGGTTTTTTGTTTTGTTTTTTATGGTTCCTACATTTTGTTGCCAATATTTTCACTGTGTCATGGACTTGACTTACCTCAGAAGCCCCATGCTTTTCATGATTAAATCATGCCTTTTAATGAAGTTGCTAAGTACATATTATTAATTTTTTTTTCTGGTTCTAGAGTTTAAACTCAGGGCCTTCACCTTGAGCCACTTCACCAGCCCTTTTTTATGATGGGTTCTTTTTGAGATAGGTCTCATGAACTATTTGTCCAGGCTGGCTTTGAACCTCTATCCTCCTGATTTCTGTCTCCTGAGTAGCTAGGATTATAGGTGTGAGTCACCAATGCTGGGCTATATTATTGAATTTTTGAGGCTGATGCTCTTAAAATAACTTTTCCAAAAAAAATTATTATGAAGATATTGATTCATTCAACCAACTAACACTTATCTTTTTTTCCCTTCATTTTTTTTTCCTTTGGTGGCACTGGGGTTTGAACTCAGGGCCTCAGTGTTGCTAGGCAGGTACTGTACCACTTAAGCTACTCCGTCAGCCCTTCCCTTCATTTTTTGAGACAGGGTCTCACTATATACCCACACTAACCTTGAATTTGTGATCCTCCTGTCTCAGTCTCCTGAGTGCTGGGATTATAGGCATGCACCACCAAACTCAGCTTCTAATTAACATCTATTTAACATCTCTGGTTTATAAGAACCTTACTAAGTCTTAGGATACACAGATTCAAGGTCTCCAACTTTTTTTTTTTTTTTGGTGGGACTGGCGTTTGAACTCAGAGCTTTGAGCTTGCAAAGCAGGTGCTCTACCACTTGCGCCACACCTTCAGTATATTTTGCTCTGGTTATTTTAAAGGTGGGGTGCTCTTAAACTACTTGCTTAGGCTGGTCTTGAACCTTTGTCCTCTAGATCTCAGCCTCCCAAGTAGCTGGGATTTCAGGCACAAGCCACTGGTGCCCCGCTAAGGTCTTCCACCTTATACAGCTGATAGTTGAGTGGACTCAGGGTGATTCATTCTGTAAAACCTTCCTGCTCACTTACCATGGCAAGGCACTCTTCTTGGACATAGGGATACAGTGGTGAGCAGGCAGATGGTCCCTAAAATTATAGAATTCACACGCGACAGGGAGCAGACAAGGAGCCAACACGTGCAAAAGATAATTTCAGAGAGGATTAATTACGACAGAAAAAGAAAGTAGGTTCTTTTGGGGGTTTTTTGTGGTATAGAAGTTTGAACTCTGGGCCTCATGCTTGGTAGGCAAGCACTCTACTTCATGTGCCACTCCTGCAGCCCCAAAGCAGTCTATTCTGATAGAGGATGACTGAGTGGAGGTGTGGCAACACTAGTTGGAGTTCCCAGGGAAGGCCTTACTGGAGGGATGGCATTTGAACTAAGGACTGGGTGATGAGAAAGAGTGAGTGGCAGAGGGTTCCATCCAAGAGGGGCAGTAATGATAAGACTCTGATGTTCTTTCTGTGTTTGGGTATCTGAGGGACAGGTGGCAGAGGGTGGGGTCACTGGAATATAATGGTAGAAGGAAAGGTGCAGGAGATGAGGTTGGCCACGCCCAGATCGTGAGCTGTGCTGTGGAAGGAGTTTAAATTTTTCTCTTAAAATCTGACTGAGGCTGGTGGGTCATGATTTTTTACAGTTAGTTAATGGATCTAAATTTTCCAAATGTTGATGCTTTTGTCCCATTTTTGAACTGAGATGAAGAAGGAAAAATCCATGGGACTTAGGTGATAGGACAGATTATGCAGCTGTTGAGTGGTGGTGGCAGGCTTCAGAGCTCATGTGTCATGACTCCCAAGTGGTGCTTTTGTACTGTGCTGCCTCCCTGCCTTACACAGCTCTTTGAGCACTGGAGGTAATGAAAGGAGCAATTAAGAGGAGGTGCCAGGTCTGCTTGGTCCAGTGTTAGATGCTCCATTTCTATTGACGTTTAGGTGGATGATACCTTGCAGTTAGAGCCTTGGCTAAGAGAAGAAGGCAGCAAACCAAAGTCACTCCATCTGATACAGGTGATCAGTTAGTTGGGAAGTGTTCTCGTGGTGATTTAGAATTGATATATAGCCAGGTAAGTCTTGTACATCTTAAAAGCACTTTCTTTTAGATCCTGCTGACCATATCATGGACTTCCCAGAGCCTCAAACTTTGGGAACCACGAGGAAATTCGCTGGTAGTGAGTCCTGCAAGTAAGATAATCAAGTGCTTCCTGACAGGTGGATGCAGAAGGATCACCTGTGGGCACAAGTGTGTGTTAGTTAGTCATATTGAACATAATGGGGTCCAGTGAGGCATTATGTGAAAAGTTTGAAGAATCAAGCCTGGAAATGGGGTTCGACTTTGCATGTCACTTTATCCTATGAAGTCTCTCTTCCAGAATAGGTAGTATGCTGAGGAAAACAGCATCCAAGCAGAATACTCACAAGTGCTCTGTGACTGTGCCCTTGTGTTAGAGAAAAATTGTTTACCTTCTCAAATGCAAGGTGAGCATTTTGCCAATAGGCATGGTGCCACACCATAGCAATGTTCTTCATGAGCCAGTTTTGATACATATGAACCAAGTGTGCTTTGTACAACACGTTTTCTGATTGGCAGAAGCATATAAACACATTTTGGTACCTTCCTGTGTGGTTAATAAAATGAACACTGACTTCCTAAGTTACTTGATTTTTTATTTTGGTGATTTTTCTGTTCCCTTTTATTTTTAGGGGGTCTTTGAAAACTTTTGTCCACACAGTCCATCTATTACAGAAACAGACTGATCTAGGGTCCCTGCCTGTCGCTGATGTACTGTATAGGTAAGTTGTCACTTGGATTCTTACTCTCCTTCAAACAAGGCAGCTTTGCGTAGAAAGGCTTTTACAGCAAGTAGATTGCTAATCTCTTAACAACTAATAATTCATATTTTTTTTTTTTTTTTTTTTTTTTTTTTTTTTTGCAGTACTGGGGTTTGAACTCAGGGCCTCACGCTTGCGAGGCAAGCACTCTACCACTTGAGCCATTCCGCCAGCCCTAATTCATATTTTTGAATAAAGAAAGAATAATGGTTAACTTCTTAAGAATTTTGGTTTTTACCTTTCCTTCTTTGAAAGTGAATATAATTTTTTTTTCTTTTTGTATCTTTAAAAATGCAATAAAAAAGGAAAACAATGCAATAGCTTGTAATGGATTCTTACTGTAAAATTGAAGTGATGATGTATTAAGGTATAAAGAAGAAAGTAAAAATCATTCATCATCTCATTACCAAAGATAACTTGTAATGTTTTGGCCTATATTTCTTAATTCATACTCCTCTTTGCCTCTGTCTATCTCTTTCTGCCTGTCTTTTTCTCTCACACGTGTATGTTTAAAATACATACATTTTTACATCCAGATATAATTTTATTATAACATTTCTATAAGCACTGCTTTGTAATTTTTTCATTTAAAAATATACTGTGAATGTCTTGTAAGATGTGTATTTGTGTAAAGCTGTTTTAGCTCCTGCTCTTGGAGGTGATGAATAGGCTTTTATTTTCTTGCTAAAATGGATAGCGTCAGCGTCTTTGAAATTCTCCCTCTCCCCTTCATAGGCTGTTGCTTTTGGAAGGGGGGCCTGGATCCCCCTCTTGTTTGCTCGGGGGCAAGCACATAGTATCATGGGGGTATGAAGACATGCTGCCTGCACCAGACAGCAATGCTGGCTCCAGCTCTGAAAGTAAAGGTAATGTAAGGGTTGCTTGTCCTGGGATTGATGTGAAGATGTAGAGAGTGCTTTTAGATCACTGTGGCAAACACTTCAGATATAACTCTGTGTGTTCCTTTTAATTAAGAGCTCAAGATTTCTATACAGTGTACTTATTGTCTGCTTTATCGGTAAAAGTATAAAAGCTGATACGCGGTGAGGTAAGAAAATGGACCAGTTTTACTGTTGCAGGAGAAGGGATGATCTGTACACTCCCGCTGGGATGGTGTGGATTACTTCAGTTGGTTCCCGAGTGTGTGCATTGAGGCATGGAAACTGTAGTTGAAATGTTTGGTTGTCTGATGGAGTATCGGGTATTGCTGCATGATACTATTTCTTTTAGTAATTTATTGTGTGTGAATGAACCCTCCTGTCCTAAAAGCAAAGAGCAAGAGGGTCCAAGGGACAAGGGAGGATGAAATATTAAGTAACTCTTTCAAACAAAGTGGGCCACACTGAAATATTTTCTCACGGTTTTATAGGATTACATGTGAGTTTATACCATTACCTCAGCAAAAATGGCTGGAGCTCCCTTAGGTGACCTACTTAACAGACTTTCCAGGAAAATTAGGTCTCGCCACTCTGTAACTAAGCATGTGTCAGTGCCAGAGCCTCCACACCCAGGCTGTGGGCTCTTCTGACACATTGTATGCTACCTTCCCACCATGGAGCCACGGCTTGACATGGCAGCCTGACTCCCAAACTAGTTTGTTAGGGTAATTGGTACTGTTATGATATTGTCAGTTAATATAATGATGACATTATAATGTTATTATATCATTAAGTATTAAATAACTGATAAAATAGGAATTTAAAAAAATACCCCAGAAGATTGTTTCCTTAAAAAAGTGACTGTTTTAGAAAGACTCAACCAAGTATCTTAGTGAAATTGGTGTTGGTTAGGTGTGGGGTTGAGAGCCTGTTCAGCCCACCCCTTCCTTTCCTGCCCTTGATGGGGCGCTTCCCTGGCCATAGGGCACAGAACACAAGCTGAGGAACAGGCCACCCAGCACCCCTCAGCTCAGGGGGTCCAGTGTTGCTCAGATGAAGAGGAGTGGCTTCTGGATATAATTCAGACCTTTCCTGTCCCAACCAAAGTCAGTGGGAGAAGCAAAAATGCCTGCAGTGCCCCACAAGTTTTCAGACATGCTGGGTTCCACCTTCTTCACACAGAACTAAAACTCTTTCTTTTCTTTTTTCTTAATTTTTAAAATTGGAATAAATTTTAGTATTTAAATACAAAAGTAAGCACTAACTTTTCACACACACACACACACACACACACACACACACGTAATAGCCAAATGTGCAGACAACATGGACTCCTGCTCTCTCTTCCACAGGCCCCATCTTGTGGCTGAACCTGCAGCCAGTCTCCCTCCTCTCCAACACAGGGATCCCTGGTGGCTGCTTTACCCTACCACCGCAGTGCATTTTGTCAGGTTTATCTTGTGTGCCTTTCCCTTCCTGACATCTTGATTCTTAAAAAAAAAAAAAAAAAAAAAAAAAAAGACCCTTTCTTTATTCCTATTTGGTAGATAGGTTCTCACTGAGGGTGATGATAGTAAGCTATCTTGTTTGCTTTCATTCTCTTGTACCTTTGGGTTTTCATCTAGGTAGAGGTGGTTTCTTATAATAACTTTCAGAATAAAAAAATTGGGGGGTGGGACAAGTTCTTACTATGTTGTTCAAACAGGCCTCAAACTTCTGGATTCAGTGAGCCTCCTGCCTCAGCCTCCCTAATAAGAGTAATTCTATTTAACTTTATTGAAACACTCAGTATTGACAGAAAGTTGAGTTGTGTATTCATCACTCAACTCAATAAATATCAGCTCGTGGCTAGTCTTGTGCTGTCTGTCCTCTTCACTTCTACCCTTGTCAGGCACACGCTTAAAAAGCCTTCATCTGTAATTTGAAGATGGGTGAATAAATGTAATTTATAAGTTTCAAGGTAAAGTATTTAAGGTGTGAAATTAATATTTTTAAGTGATTATTTTTGAGGAACTAATAGGTGTAAGTCCCAGTTGTCTCAGACTAGCAGGCTGAATTTTTAAGATAACAGCAGACTCAGTACTAATTTGAGTGGGGTGACATTGAATTTCCTCCAACTAATGATTTGCTTCAGGCAAACTCCCCTGAAACAGTGAGTGGAATGGTCATGAAAATAAACACTGAAAGTTTTATCCACATTTTAAGACATATTCTTGGGAATATAAGTTAATATACCATTTATTATCATATAGAGAAAGTGGTTTTGGATTGGAGAAGATAGAGCCAGAGGGCAATATGTTTGCTGTTTTTAGAAGAAGAGAGATTGATTATACTTTCCTGCTATTCCCTCCAGTGCTAAAATTAGGATATCAGAATGGAAATCCACACAGCGGATATTGTTTAGTTCTGAATATGCTATCATATCAACATGATTTCATTTGCTATTTATGGACCAGTGGGTTGGTACCAGAGAGCAATGCAGGTATATTTCCTGCAGTAATCCCACCAGCGAGAACCCTGGAGGTGCCTGTTATTACCCTCATCTTACAGATGGAGAGACCAGAATTGAAGGTCAACATCACCTAATGAATGCCCAGGGCTCCTAAGCACTCATGCCTTTGAGGAAAAGGGTGGTATTCCTGGTCATTTCAAGTTAGAGTTAGCAATGTTTAAACTTGACTCAGTACTTTTGCTTTTCAAAAACCAAAGGGGGGGAAAAAAAAACATTTGTCAGGCTGAACCAGGTTCTCCTGCTAAGAACTGCCTGTCCTCGTTCCTTAATCTTGGCCCCTGTTTCCATGTGCTTTTAGGGTGTTTGATTTTGAGGGTCCAAGCCATCGCCCTAAAAGTCACATTGAAGCACTTTTTTTTAAGTGGGAGATAATCTTTCACTCAGCTTCCTAATGACTTTTTGTTAGAAAAAGTGTATTTATGATTTCATTAAAAAAAAGTAGATGCATAAAATTTACCTGTGACGAAACAATTTCAGATGCTGATTTGGGACGCTGTCTCACTGCTGACGGTCTTTACCTGTACACTACTAACTCAGTTGGAAGAGGAGTAAGCAAATTGGGGTCTGGATTACATGGTACTCTCAGGTCAGTTGCATGGAACTTGCTGGATGATTTGGCTGAAACATTTGCCTCTCATGTAAATCTCTGGAAGAAGACATGGGGGTGTGTCCTGATTCCCCATACACTAGTAACTACATAACACATCTGAACTAGTGAAAAGGATTGCAGGCTTTTCTTATTGCTACCTGCCCCCATCTTGTTCTTTGGGTGTATTTCAGCTTTGTTTTGACTCTGGAGTTCAGTAGCCCTAAAATCATTGTTTCCAACCAGAAATCCAGGATTTCTATAACAATGTCAAGACTTCTCCATGTTGATAATTGACATTTTTCTAGTTAAGTCTTTTGTGCTTGGATTTGACATTGGATTAGCAGTGATTTTCAGTTGGGCTCTGAGACCTAAGAAGCCCAAAGAAGCCACAGTCTGAGACCCTCATCTATGTTTAGTAAGACATTTTCCCTAACTTTGTCTCCCTCGCTCGTTATGGAAAGTTACCATTTGCCATAGTTCACCAGTCCCAAAGTTAATGTGATATATTCCAGTATTACATCTCCTTCAGCTGTTTTACCCTGTGGTCATCTCTAAAAATTAGGTCAGAAACAAGGCTTCTGTCTGCCGTGGGCTCCTTGTAGGGCTACGGGGCCAGCTGGGCTCCACCTGTGTCTCTTCTCCTTCCAGAGGCTTTGTGTACTGCCGGAACGAGGATCTGGAGCCGGGATGGGTGGCTTTTGGCAGTGGCAGGCTCCTCCATCGGCCTGTGTCTTTCGATAACAAACCTCACTCCCTTTTCCAGCTCATTGACCAGAACACCCTCCAGGTAAGCAGAAAACCATGGTATTGTCTCTTCTGTTTTGGAGACAGTAAGGGAAGTTCCTGATGTCATCAGAAGTAATAATAGTATAATTGATGAAATCTGGGCATTTTGGTTTTTCTTTGATGTCTTGGAGTTTTCCCACATGATCTGACTGAATGTGTTCTTTATATTTCAAAGGCAAACAGCAAACTTTTTTTTTTGTTTGTTTTGGTTTTGTTTTGTTTTTGTAATTAACAAAAAAATTCTATCCAGCCATAGTGGTGCACACACAGCTATAATCCCAGCACTTGGGGGACTGAGGCTGAAGGATTGAGAGCTCTAGGCCAGCCAGGCTGCATAGTGAAACCCTGTCTCAAACCAAACGATGCAAAACAAAGCCCCAAAGTTGTACACAGTTAAAGATGGTACAAGAACTAGCTGGTTTTTGGGTTTTTTACATTTTTTTTACCAGATCTATTTTGAGAAGGCAGCATTTCCTTATTCAGAGTCTTAAACAGCGTCTGTAGAGGAATGGGAGTTTTGCTGTGAGTTTAGAACAAGGTCTTTGCATGTTAGGTTAAGGCTCATTGTTACCTATCTCACAGCACTTTGTCATGGTCCTTGCCATGTTAACTAAAATCAACTGCTCTTGTGTCTGACTTCATCAAACATATGTGTACCTTTCAGGCTAGACTGTGCCTTACTCATCTTGGTATCCTTAGAACATAACCCAGGGCCTGACATTTGATTGATAATATTAACAACACTAGTAACTACCATTTTTCAATGTCTTGTTACAGTGCCAGTCCTTGGCTTAGGCTATTTCCATAGACTTCTTATCCCTTCCTGTGATGTGTAACTTGGTAAATTCATCTTGCAGATGAGTCAGCTGAGGCTAGACACCTTGTAAGCACTCAGTATTTATTGTCGAATGAAGGGATGCAGCTCAGAGAGGTTAAGTAACTTGCCCACAGCCACTAACAGCTGCACCAAAACTTAAGCCCATGAGTCTCCTCTCCCAAATTTGAGTTCTTTATATTTCAACTTTCTACCTTTCAACCAAAGTTGAAGTGGTTAGAGATGGTAATCTGGGGAGTGATTCCTTGAGAGTAGTCACATCCAGACATTAAGTGGAATGTCATACTACTTTTTGCCTGTCGCTCAGGCATGCCTTTCCTAGAGAATAGATGACTGTTCACTGTCATCATCTCCAGAGAAAATAGTACGTGCTCAATAATGGTTGGATGAATAAATTGAATGAATTGGCAAGTAAATGTCCAGTTCACTGAATTTCTTTTCTCTAATGCAGACAGATGGGGAGTATCTCATTTATTTGAAATGGAAGCTGGAAGTCTGGGAGTTAAACAGATTTTAAATCTCAGAACACAGTTTACATTTGAAGCAATGCCAGTTTCCTCTGAGTTGGTGCAGAAACATTTTTTTTTGTGCGTGTGATACTGGGTTTGAGCTCAGGGCCTCATGCTTGCTAGGCCAGTGCTTTACTGCTTGAACCATTCCACCAACCATTTTTTGTGTTGGGTGTTTTTGAGATGGGCTTGCTTTGTTTTTGGCCCGGGCTGGCCTCAAACCATGATCCTCCTGATCTTTACTTCCCAAGTAGCTGGGATTACAGGTGTGAACCACTGGCACCTGACACAAAACCTTTTTGACACTGTCCCAGAAAGCAGTGCTGCAGATCTCTAGATAGGTACATTTTTTTTGGGGGGGGGGGGACTGGGGTTTGAATTCAGTGCTTTGCCCCTGCAAAGCAGGAGCTCTCCCATTTGAGCCACTCCTCTAGTCCATTTTGCTCTGGTTCTTTTTGGAGGTGGGGGTCTCATGAGTGACCTCAAACCATGACCCTCCTAATGTCAGTCTCCCAAGTAGCTGGGATTACAGGGTGAGCCACTGGCGCCCCAGCCTAAATGACATTTTATTCTTGAGGTCGACAAGAATGGAAGAACTAATGAGTTGAGGGGTCAGAAGTTGTCTTGAAAACCAAGGACCCACCCAAAGTAATGGAGTAAATGAAACTGTTCTTACTTTCCCTGAATGCAATTAACCTGCTCTAATGGTTTTCTTTTAAAAGAACAGAAATTTATTTCTCACACTTTTTTTATTTTTATTTTTATTTTTATTATGTTGTACTGATGGTACAATGTGACATTTACAAAATTTCTTACAATATAAGAAATTATATTGAATATATATATTCAATTATATTGAATATATATATTCAATTATATTGAATATATATATTCAATTATATTGAATATATATATTCAATTATATTGAATATATATATTCAAATATATTTGAATTCACCCTCCTCCATCATTCTCCTTTACCCCTTTTCTCCCCCCACTCCTGGAATAGTTTCAACAGGTTTCATTGTTCCACTTGCATGCATGTGTACAGAATATTTCCACTGTATTCACCATCTGACTCCCTTTCCTTATATCCTTACCCTTCCCACTGGTACCTACTCCTGCTGTACTGATTTTTATTTGAGATATATTCCAGATCTTCTATTCCTGGATTTTTAAAAACCTAGTCAGCAGTTTTCTTGTTTCTTACTTTCTCTTATTTTAAGTGGTAATCTCTGGCAATAAAAATTAATGTAAATCTACATATTTAGTGAGAAATGCTGCAAAGCTTATTGACTGCTGCAACCAAAGGATGCTTAGTGTTAGAAGCCTGTGCTTTCATGACAAATGTGGGGAACTGCTCAAGTGGTGGGGCGTCTGCTTAGCAGGTGTGAGGCCCCAAGCTCAAATCTACCATGGAATGGGCATTTTTTGTTCTCTTTCTAGTGGACTTGGTGAATTTTAATCAGCCCTCAGGTGCTCAGTTAGGATCTGTCATGGGCCTTGTTTGTTTTTTGTTTTCAATTTTTCATTTCTCCTTTTTCCTCTTCTCTGCTTCCTTTTGACTTCTTTCTTCTGTTTCTTTTTTCCTTCCTTCCATATTTATTAAAGCATTTTGAATTAGGCTCTGAATTAGATGTGTAAGACATGGTTCTTATTTTTTAAATGAAATTAATGATTTTAAATTCCTTTACTAAGGAAATTTTAGAAGGTACTATTTCTCTAAAACTTTTTTTTCTGTTTTTGTTTTGTTATTTTTACTTTTTTGGTGGTGCGTGAAGCTGTGTATGTGTTTTGAGACCCAGCTGTCCATGAACTTGATACGTAGCCCAGGTTAGCCTCAAACTCACAAAGAGTCAGAAGTGGCCTCAGCCCCCTAGTGCTGGATTTATAGGTGTTCACCACTACACCTGCTTAAAACTTTGTTTTTAATGTTAGATAAAACATACATGCCTAGCAGATTCAAAGTACTTTGTAAGTTTTACCTATTAAGATGTAATTTGAATTAATCTCCAAATTTCATCTGTTACATGGAAGTCATATTTATTTGACTGCCCACTTTTGTGTCCCACTAGTGAAGATCTTCCTCATTCATGTCCAGGTATGTCAGACGGTGCCCATGCCAGCCAATCACCTCCCCATTGGCAGCACCATGAGCACTGTGCACCTCTCTTCTGATGGCACTTACTTCTATTGGATCTGGTCTCCTGCTAGCCTGAATGAGAAAACCCCAAAGGGGCATTCTGTCTTCATGGACATCTTTGAACTTGTGGTGAGTTTAACTTTCTCATTTTGGGTTGTTGCAGAAACATTTCTGTTTGCTTTCGTTTTATGTTGATATACAAAGAATATAAGACCCTTGCTGTATGTACGGTATGTTTACTATTTCTTTAAAGTTGATCTTCCTCTTGGATGTCTTTGAAGGTTTTTGTTCAGGGTTGTGTGGTGTAAATAGAGCCAGGCTTTCTGAAAGTTAATCTGGCAAGAGAGAAGATAGTATCATTGGTTGTGTTGACACTGGGAAGTTAAAGTAGAAATGCTCATGGGGGCTGGAAAGGTGGGACTAGATTGCAGAAGCAAGAACAGGTGGAGATTGGGAGTCTCCAAGAGAGGTGACAGTTACATTGTGAGGAGGCTTCATGCATTAGGTGTTAGCTGAAGCCCACTGAGAGCAAGCAGGGAGAGATCTGCCCAGGTGGTGGAAATACAATTATGGGCAAGATGGGCAGGGCTCTTGCTCAAATGCAACTTGAATTTTGGCTCCAGGGGCAGGTGGATTGGGGTGATATAGGTGGAGAAATAAAAAAATGAACCATACATATGTGAGCAAATGAGTGAAAAAGATAATTTTAGGGAGTGAAGGAAAAGTAGTAGTTAACCAGATAAAGAACATGAGAGAGTAGGCAAGGGAAGGCCTTTTCCAGAAATGAGGCCCACAGTGCAAAAGGCCCCATGGCAGAAGTAAGCTTGTGTTAGGAAATAAAGGTGGGCCAGGATGTCCAAATGCTCAGAGAATAAGCATTTGGGTGAGAAGATCCTAGGAGCCAAGAGGTCTAAATCTGCATCGTCCAGCCCACTGTCCAGTGCAGGTATCACTAGCAACATGTAGCTATTGAAACTTCAGTTGATGAAAATTAAATAAAATTAAAACTTTTTTTTTAAACAGTATTGGGGTTTGAACTCAGGGCCTACACCTTGAGCCACTCCACCAGCCCTTTTTTGGTTGGGTATTTTCAAGATAGGATCTCGAGAACTATTTGCCTGGATTGGCTTGGGACCTTGATCCTCCTGATCTCTGCCCTCTGAGTAGCTAGGATTACAAGCGTGAGCCACCAGCACCTGGCTAAAATGAAAATTTGAGTTACTCATTTGTAGTAGCCATCTCTCAGGCACTTATTCTGGCAGGTTCTGCCGTGTTGAACAAAGAGGTAACATTTCCATCATCAAAGAATGTTCTCTTTGACAGAGCTGATGTAGATAATATTTGTAGAGACATAAAAGAAAAAAAATTGCTCTCAGTCAGGTCTGTGACAAAACCATTTTTTTCATGATGTAATTTGCAGCCTCTTTTGGGGGAAAAATAGCATTTCTGGAAAAGACAAAACACTATAGGAATTTTCTAATAAATTTCAATGGGATTAAAACTTGTTCTGGGACAGTAGAGTGCCTGCTGTGCAAAGTCCTGAGTTCAAACCCCAATCCCACCAAAATAACAACAAAAAATTGTTCTGGGAGCTTGTTCATGCGCCAGGTGGGTACCAGTCAGGGCTCTAGTAGCCCCCTAGAAGTTCCTTCTATTCTTTCCTATCTAGTCTTCCAGAATTCTCTCTTGCCTTCTCTCTACCACTTGAGCCATGCCCCCAGCTCTAGCCTCACAGAATTCTCTGACAATTATCTTTTCTTATATAATGTCCCTGCCAGAGTGAATCTTTGAATGGGTCTGCTAGAGATTGTACTCTTTGAACATATGTTCATAACTGTCAGAAAAGTTTTTTGTTGTGTGCTTCTTTTTAAACAGACTTACCAGCTGTTTAAAGAATTTAAGTCTTTATCAAAAAAAATGAGAACATTGAATAATTCTCCCTTTCCCTGATATGTGGTTGTTAAATTAAAAGAAAAATGACAGGGATAAAATCCATGCAGGTGGTCTGAGATATCCGGCAACACCCACACTCATGAAGCAAACTTCCCTTGCCCTGTCCATCAGCATGCTCCTCCGAGTCCATCATCTGAAGAACGGCTTCAGCTCTCAGTTCTCGTTGTTGCCTCTTATCTCCGAGAAAAATGCTGGAGTTGTGTTTCCCCATTTATGAACTCCAGTTTTTTTTATTATTTTGCCTTTTGTTTTGTTTTGTTTTTGTGATAGATGAAGATCGAGCTAAATTTCCTCTCTTACAACTCAGTGTACTTACTTCATTCATTTTAGTTAAACCTTTACTTCTTGTCCATTAACTCTGGGCACTGTCATTTGTTCCACTACTGTAGAAGATGGAGAGTACAGTGTCCTTTTCCTCCCTTCAATGTGTAGAAAGCCAAGACCAGAGTGTATGTTCAGGGAAACACAGGAGGCAGAGAGATGACCCACCCCCACCCATGCAGACCATCTTCGGAGTTGGAGGCGTCAGGTGTGGCGCAGAGCCATGACTAGAGCAGAGCTGTAGACTGACTTTACATAAGGACCTGCTGCCCGGCTTCCTGGTATACACGCTTATGTCTGCCCAAGCAGAAGACCAGATGTTCCTTTTATGAAGAAACTTAGTGAGCCTGGAAACACAGACCTCTGCACACTGATACTGGGGTTCAGCTAAGCAAAGACTTGCTTCCCTAGTGAATCACCTCTGTGTGATGTCTCCCAGTGAGCAACCCTCAACCATGTCTTTAGAATTCCTGATTAACACTCAACTGTTTTATTTAAAAAAAAAAAAGCAAACAAAACAAAAACAAGGTTGGCAAAATATCAATAATTATTAAAGCCAGGTGAGGGTACATGAGGAGTGCTACCATTCTCTCTTATTTTGTGTCTGTTGGAATTTTTTACATGATAAAAAGCTTTAAAATTAAAAAAGAGGACTGGGCATGGTAGTTCACAATGGTGGGCATGGTGCCTTAGCTACACAGGAGGCATAGGTTGGCAAGATCACAGTTTAGGACTGACCTGGGCATAAAGTGAGACCTTATCCCAAAAACAGCTAAAGCAAAAAGGGCTGGAGACATGGCTCAAGTAGTCAAGCACCTGCCTATCTAGTGCAAGACCTTGAGTTCAAATCCCAGTATCGCCAAAAACCAAAAGAAAACAAAAGAGCAGACAACCACGAATTGCCAGACAAATAAGGAAAAGCCTCAATATGAAAATCAAAAACAAGTAAAAGAAACAGAAAGAATACAACAAAACTTCATCAACATTAACTACTCTGTGAGAGATGAGGAGAAGCAGAGCTATCAGAGAGAGCTCTCCCAAATATTAAAACTGTGATTATCCAAAGGTAAAAAATTAACAAAAGAGTTACAACTATCTTCCAGAAAGCAGAACAAACAAAAACCAGCAAATATGAGAGAAATAATAATAGACATACACTCTTGCCGATAGGAATTCCAAAAGGAGGACAGAGAAAATAAAGAGGAGGACGTGATTAAGAAATAATAAAAGAGCTGGTAGCTCACACCCATAATCCTAGCTACTTGGGAAGCTAAGATCAGGAGGATGGAGGTTTGAGGCCAGCCTAGGCAATTAGTTTGTGAGACCCCCTACTCCAAAATAACTAGAGCAAAATGGACTGGAGGTGTAGCTCAAGAGGAAGAGTGCCTGCTTTGCAAGTGTGAAGCCCTGAGGAAGAGAGAGAGGGAAGGGAGGAAGGAAGGAATTGAGGAAGGAAGGAAAATTTCAGACTAAGTGATGTTGGTGTATAGTTTAAAAGGTATCTGGTATAAGAATGCAAATACCCATGTCGTGGTGCATCAGCGTGAAAGTTTATATTACCAAGGATAAAGAGAGGATTTTAAAGCTTTCAGAAATTAAAAAAAAATTACAAATGATGAAAAATTGGACAAGCATCAGATCCTTCAGTAACATTTTTGGGTGGAAAAATGGAGCAGTGCTCTCCAAATTCTGAGGGAATTGGTTTCCCCCCTGGAAGGTAGATATTCAACATAGAGAGGCTTTTAAAATGTAATTGTATAATCAAAACCCTGTACCTGCTCTCAAGGAAATGGAATAACTGAAATAGCCCCTGCACACAGCCTGCTCTGGAATAAAAGAAGAACCATTGCATCATTTTTGGAGTCTGACTTAAATAAGTCAACTGTATAAAAGAAAAAGAAAAAGAAAAATCTTTTTTAGGCTGTTTGAAATTTGAATATAAAAGAATTAGGAATACTGTATGAAACCAAAGGATTTCTCTTTTTTTGGGGGGGCGCTTTTGAGACCGGTCTCGCTATGTATTCCAGGCTGGTCTTGAACTCATTACCCTCCTGTGTCATTGTCCTGAGTGCTAGGATTATAGGCATGCACTACTACACCTGGCTATATCTCCTTCAGTTCTTTGAACCTTCCCCAGTCAGTCTTGTATCCTCATCACACCACCACAGAGCTCTTTCCAGGTTTACCAGTGTCTTCTTCATTGCTAAGTTCAATAGTCAACTCACCTTCTTCTTTGCTTGATCTTGTAGCAGTGTTTGACATGATGATCACTCCCTCATTCTTGAAACTGTTTGGCTCACAAGCCATGGCACTCATGGCATTTCTGACCACTGATCATTCCTTCCTAACCTTGTTTGCCCCACCTTCTAACAGTGACATGTGCCAGGTTGTATTTCCAGGACCCCTTCCATCTATTGTAGCTACTCGTCCTCCTCAGGTGAACTCAACCTGGTTTATGGCTTTCAGCACCTCTATGTTCTAAGGATGCTCAGATTTGCTTCTCAACCAAAGCCTGTCCCCAGAATCCTAGGTGCGTGTTGGCATGGGTGTTTGTTCATACAGAATAGCAGCATCTCCATTGGAGGCCTACAGTCACTTGAAGCTAACCATGCCCCAGTCAGCCTCCTGATTTTATACAGACCTGTTCCCATTTCAGCTCCTGATAGCTGTGCCTTTCCAGGGCTGGCCAGAGGCCTTTGTGTTACTCTTGGCTTGTCAAAATTTTTGTGTTGATTAGAGGAGGGAAAATAAATTCACCGTGGGAAAGTTTTAGTGGAGGAAGAGGACTTGAGCACCTAATGCATGGGGAGCAGAGGAGCAGGAGCAGAGAAGTAAACCACTCCCCTGGAGAAAGT